TCCAACAAGAAATGTCTGTTAGACATGCTGAGATGCGAGCAGCTATCGTCGGATCATCAGGATAGAATGAGAGGTAGAGTTGAGTGTCATCAGCATAGCAGTGATATGAAAAGCCATGTTTCTGAATGACAGAACCTAGTGATGCCGTGTAGACAGAGAAGAGAAGTGGTCCAAAAACTGAGCCCTGAGGCACCCCAGTAGCTAGATGTTGTGACTTGGGACACCTCACCTCTCCAAGATACCATGAAGAACCAACCTGAGAGGTAAGACTCAAACCACTGGAGTGCGGTCCCTTAGATGCCCTTTGCCAATAGGCATTATATACAAATTAATTTAATTATAAAAAAATTAATTTATATATAAATTACAATTACACGACCCTACTATTTACACAAAAAGTGTGCCTATACATACATGCATGCCTACATGCCTATTTAATTTATTATCTCTCTCTCTCTCTCTCTCTCTCTCTCATCAGCCAATAACCAATATGGAACCGATATAATATGCATTCCTAGTTCTATAGGAGTATTTGCATGCCTTATTAATGTAGAATATATAATATTAATATATAACAGCATGGCTCATTAATATTTAACAAGTGGTATAGGTGTGTCATTTTGAAAATGGCCTCGAACTTAGATCATCCAATTAGAACAGACTTAAATCTCTTCCATTTATAATTCATCACAGTCCTAGTTTGACTGCATGTGATAATAAGCTGACGTGACTCACTGTAGTCTTAGTAAAGTTGGAGGTCAGACTCATTGTCTTTCTTCTCACTCAGTGAAGGTGGTGGTGCATCTGCTCCAGGTGTACTGGATTGTTAAGGAAGACGGGCTCTGGACACTTGTTAGTTTGGGTCTCCAACAGAGAGGACAGTGAACACCTACACTGCTGCCTTCTGAGACTGAGAGCCAATTACATCCGCTTATGTAAGACTCTCGATTCACTGTGTCATCAGATCTGCATAGAGAAACGGCCAAAGTCTCAAGACAAACCCTTGTGAGAACAGAGTTGTAAACAAGCCGTTTTTAGACCAGAAGTGTGATTAAACTGGATGACACTGGATGACTGGATTAAACTGGCAGACCACATTATAAACAGTCTCCAGAGAAAATCAGCAACAGAATGAGGAACTGATTTAATTTCCGCTCATTTGAAATTAAGTACACAAGTGGAATATTTTTTAAAATAATACAAATATAAATATATACTTAAATATATATTAAAATTAGATGCTTTTTTTATTTAAAAAATAATAAAATTTTGTGTGTATATATACACACACACATTTAATTTCACTGATTTCATTTCAACTCATTGTAAATTAAGCACATGAGTGGATTGTGACTATTCATCTGCATTATTATTAGATCCAAAGCGAAGCACAAGCAGTGTATGCTTTTACACACATCTGTGCACGTTTACATTGGGAAGAACTGGCCTAATGAACCTAATTAAGTGACAGGAGGCTTGTGTTAGCACGTGCCTGTAGGGTTCAGTTCAGTCGATCACGCGTCTCCTGACAGCTACACCAGCAGCACTGAAAGACTCATTTATTTAATTATAGTTTTGCCTCTTCCTGTCATCATACAGGTTGA